AGTTACGGATTTGTGAATGTGGCGTCTCTTTGCATCCCTACACAGGCGACTGCAACGGTTGCGAAGTTTTTTGTAGACTGCCCAGTTTTCCTCAGACGAGGAAATGAAACTTTGCAATCCTTAGCTTGAATTCCCTATTAACTTCCTCAATGAAGGTTTTTTAACAAAAAGCTACAAAATCAGCTGGCTGTTATATAATTATTGACGAGGCTTGATATGAACACATATCGCTGGTTGAAACCTCAATCCAATCGGTTTCAAATTTGGAATTCCTAATATACATAAGTGTCTAATAAACTCTATGAATAAAATAGAAAGAAATAGAACTCTATGAACTGGCTTCCGGCAAAGAAATCCGAATCTGAATTTTCAGCACGGAAACGTATTTTCAAATGAATTGAAGTATACGAAAAAACAAATTGACAACATAAACTGAAAGTACTTATTGAATCAACGAAATCAAAAGCTTATTACAAAACTTCGTATTGATATCAATAAATTTTGTTAAACAAGTACAAGAGGCAATAAACCCAGAAAGCAATAAAAATTTATAAAGCACCATAATAGTGCCCGAAGGAAAAACCTAGAGACTGTCAAGGAATATCTTTACGATCTGAGAGAACAGTTTATATAGGCTATTAAATAAGAGCTATAAAACTACAACTTAGATTTAAAACAGACATTCTAACATAGGTACTGGAGTATCGAGAGATCAATACTGTTTAAGAAGCGAAAATACATTAATAGGCGAGCTGGGATATGGGATATTAGATGTAAAAGCTTTTGAAAGTTGTAACGAGAATTTATAATCACTGCACAACGATGAAGACAATTTTGTTAAAATCTAATGTTTCTCAATTACTTTAACCTTTTTTTTTTTCCTACCTAAGCTGGTAGCCTTGAGAGGCTATTCCAGCGTAACCTTAACTAGGAGGTAGCTAACGGGGCGGAAACGCGACCCACTGAGAAGATCCGGCGAGAAACTCAGTGGGCTGTGTCTGAGGGCTAATTTACTCGTCGAGCCCTTCGTCGCAAGCGACGGGTTCGACGAGAACGGTGCTTGAAGTACCTAAAAGCACCGTTAGTGGATCAGGAGGATCCGAAATGACGTGTTTTGGGCGACGTCGACTGCTTTCCATTCTTTCCGCAGGATCGGGAATGTAGTTACCGGCGGCCACGATGAGATGGGTTCTCGTGTCGTGCCGCTTTATCGAAGTGGCGCACTTTAATCTAATTTCCAATACAGGAACGCACGGTGGCTTGACGGCAATAATTATGAAACTATACTATACTAAATCAAGGAAGCGAGAATTGCATAAGGTCCAAAGCCGGTTGCGGACCGTAAACTAAGCTATACCAAAGCTAAACTAAGCCAGCTAGGCTAAGTTAAGCTAGAAATAAATGGCTTACACACCAAGAGCTAAGCCAAAGCTCAGTCAGTGTTGCGAAGTTCAATTAGACGGACGACGCTCGCCATGAATATAATGGATGAAGAAAGTTCCGATAATGAATACGTTACACATAGAAAAAGAAGATTAATACGGACTTATTATTCTTTTAGGAAAGCAGAACATTCCAGATCTTGTATAAGTCAACACATTCAATCTCGGTACACAAGTGGAGAGTTTAGAACTTTACTTTACGAGTTAGATGATGAACATTTTCAGTTATATTATCGTATTATAAAAGTTCAGTTCCGTAGTACAGGAAATTGTTTAACAACTTCAATAGATTGCTCCATATACGCTACAAAACGACCGTACCTACGACAAAGAACATTGGATAGCACTGGCGAAGGATGTGCGAATGGCGTGCGGGGAAGGCTAGAGGGGCTTAGTTTAGTTCGTGTATAGTGTAGCTTCGCATATTTTAGTTAGCTAACGTAGCTTAGTTCGCATAGTTTGCGGTCTGCACACAAGTATGGAAAACTGCGTTAGCTATGGGCTTACGTAAGCTTAGTTAGCTAAACTAAGTTAGCTTACCTCTTGGTCTGTAACCCGTACAATCATCGAACTGCTATAAATTTTACTTCTTTCTCATATCTACTTCAGTACGCTCAATAAAATTTGGAAACGAATTGAACAAATGAAAATATAATTTACTCGTGGAAATATTTCAGTCCCCACTTGTTGCCTAGAGGCATTTTGGATTACGGCCAAAGTGAAATATTTTCTGGCGATAAATGTTCACTAGGTACAGTGACATTCAAAAGTGCATGGATACTATAATAAAAAATCATAAAAACCTATAAAAAATACTATCTGTTATTAGTAGGTGTTATTGTGTTGTTGGCTGTGTCGATTGATATCGCCAACGCCTTCAACACGATCGTGGAATTGCTTCGGTTTCACCGCGTCCCCAATAGTCTCCGCACCCTGATAGAGGACTACCTCTCAGGGCGGGATGTGGTCTTTCCCGAGAGGAGGGGGTCGGGACAGAAAGCGGTGTCTGCGGGGTCCCACAGGGGTTGGTACTGGGATCACTCCTGTGGGAAATCTGGGTCCTGCGCGGTGCTAGCCTGCGTGGCATCCACGTAGTATGCTATACCGACGATACGCTGGTGACGGCCCGCGGAGCTGACTACAGAACCGCAGCGATACTTGCGAAAAAGTAATATCACTAATCTCTATCGGCTGTGATATAATAGTTTTGTGAAATGAGTGTACTAGACTTCTTTACCATTTTTACTTTATTATAATATTTACAGCAGCCTTAGTTCACATCTTTTTTTTTAAAGTTAAATACTTATATTATTAAATAAGTAAATAATCTTAAAAAAATTAATTAAAAAAAGTACATATTTAAGTTAATTAATTCTATTTAACAACATCCTGTAAATATATGAAATACAAGCTTAAAACTACGTAATTGGAAATAAAAATCAGGAACTTAGATTGAAGACAAATTTTAAAGATTTTATTAGTCTTAAATTTAATAAATTAATTCGTTTAGATTATTATTTTTGAACGTACACAAAATATTAGTTTACACGATTCAATGCAGATTATCCAATAAATATTTGTAATAAATATTAACACTGGTTTATTTATAACACTGCTTTATTTTACACTTTATAAATTCCGCTTTTGTTTTGTACTTATTAGAGAACATAAGAGTGAGTAAAAGACAATATCAAAGAGCCATGGATTTAGCGTAAATTTAAAACAATATAGATTACTTTTTGTTGCTGGTTATTTTGAAGTCGTTGTGGCCTAAAGAATTAGATGCCTGGTGCATTCGTATCTAGCGATGCATTAGTGCCGGTGTTCGGATCACGCATACAGGTATCAATTTTGGTAATGAAATACCTTTTTTTTTTTTATTGCTTAGTTGGGTGGACGAGCTCACAGCCCACCTGGTGCTAAGTGGTTACTGGAGCCCATAGACATCCACAACGTAAATGCGCCACCCACCTTGAGATACAAGTTCTAAGGTCTCAAGTATAGTTACAGTTACAACGGCTGCCCCACCCTTCAAACCGAAACGCATTCCTGCTTCACGGCAGAAATAGGCAGGGTGGTGGTACCCACCCGCGCGGACTCACAAGAGGTCCTACCATCAGTAATTACGCAAATTATAATTTTTCGGTTTCATTTTTATTACACGATGTTATTCCTTCACCGTGGAAGTCAATCGTGAACATTTGTTGAGTACGTATTTCATTAGAAAAATTGGTACCCGCCTGCAGGATTCGAACACCGGTGCATCGCTTCAACACGAATGCACCGGACGTCTTATCCGTTAGGCCACGACGACTACTGAAAAATATTCACGATTGACTTCCACAGTGAAGGAATGGCAACGTATAATAAAAATCAAAATCTCAAAAATTGTAAATTGCGTAATTACTGGTGGTAGGACTAGGTCTTATGAGTCTGCAGTCTGCACGGGTAGGTACCACCACCTTACTTATTTCTGCCAGGTGGGCGGTCGTTGTTTTATAAAAGCCGGAACTTTAGAACTCATGTATCAATGGGAGTTGCGGCATGAACGATGTCTATGGGCTCCGGTAATCACTTAACATCAGACGGGCCGTGAGCTCCTCAATCCATATTGGCAAAAAAATAACAATGAGAAAGTACATATTGTCATTAGGCAAGATTCGAACGTTATAGACGGTTTTTTTTTTAATTTAGAACCAAATTTTTTACATGTGGTTTTTCATAGTTTTAGTTATCTTTACCAACAACTACCAATTGAGGAAGTCAGCGCTAAAGTGTCCTAAGCTTATCATAGTTAGTATGGAGATAATGAGGTTAGAATTTACTTTTGGAATTTACTGCTTCGTAGGCAAAAACAATACGCGCAAAAATAATGTTTACAAAGCCATCTGTTCTCTATGGGTGAGACTAGGATTAGGCCGGTTTAAAAATTTGTTATGTTTTAAATAAATTGCAATATAAAAATTTGTGGGCTAGGCCACTTTTGCACTGACGGTCCCAATTGTATGTTCATAATAATAATATAATACTCGTAGCGTTCATCATTTAAAAAAATTATGATATGCATTCCGATTTAGACAAGATCTTAGGTTATTAGGAACCTCTTTCATTAGAAAATTCTACAAGTTAATAAATTAAATTCTACTAGAACCAAACCAGTCAGATAAAGGTCACACTTACATTTATAAAGTCCACTTGTTGTGTGAGCAATACGTCATCTATTAACGATTTAAGTTTGTGTACAGGCGAATGAACTCCTAGTTCATCTGTTCAGCCTGTCAAATCTATATTTTCTTATACATATGTAATATTTGATTTTAATTTTACGCTCGAAGTATTGTATAAATGTTGCATTTTTCACTGGTGGTAGGACCTCTTGTGAGTCCGCGCGGGTAGGTACCACCGCCCTGCCTATTTCTGCCGTGAAGCAGTAATGCGTTTCGGTTTGAAGGATGGGGCAGCCGTTGTAACTATATACTGAGATCTTAGAACTTATATCTCAAGGTGGGTGGCGCATTTACGTTTTAGATGTCCATGGGCTCCAGTAACCACTTAACACCAGGTAGGCTGTGAGCTCCGCCACCCATCTAAGCAATAAATAAAAAAAATTTACATTTATTTAAGCATTTTAAATGCTAGTCTTTTAAAATCGTTATGAAGTTTACAAATACACTAAGCTATTGAAAATAATTTAATCACTCTTGACTCAATAAACTCAAAATATTCTCCAAATATTTGGATTGACAAACTTGAGCAGTCTCCCAATATTACATCGAGCTCTGATTTCCTTTTACCTCGGAAGTTTGTTGGATTGCTCATAAAAAGCTTTGGCGGCTTTCAACGCGTCTTCTACAAAGCGATCCTCGCAGGGGTTTACATCGAAGAAAAAAGCGCCACATTTGAGTGATTCTGAGCAATTGCTGTTCATTATTTTACCATTACAACAGCCTAATATCGCTCTGGCGCACGGCGATAAGGTCCTCGGCTTTGCGTGAACTTGTCCGCTTCTGAATTTCACGATATAATCCAGATCTTCGTATGACATGTTTATTGTGCTCAAAACGGGGTTAGGGTTTCTCAAATTCACTTGGGGTGCGCACATCGTCCCGACGAAGAGTAGCGTAACAAAGAAGACCGGTGATCCTGGCATTTCTGTAACGTTGAGTAATTTGTTTTAGGTATTTAAAAAAAAAAAACAATTGTTAAACTTCCTCATCTTAATGGGACTACATGGTTGTTTAAAATTTTACAAAATTTTCCTGTGCAGGAAATGTTAACATGGTTCATTAACTATGAAAATGCCTCTGAATTTTGATGCCAAAAAAATGTTTTAATGTTACTTTTTATTTATCTCATTCGTGTTCATCTTGTGTGTTTATTGCTAAATTCGTAGTTTTCTTTTCATATTTGTCGATTCCTATTCAATTTATGAAACAATTATTCATGTACATATTTATTTAGTAACTGGCAGCAAATTACGTACTGTAATGCAGCCCAAAATTAGGATTCCCTGTGTTACGGGTACTATAGACTGACCTGCATACCTATATACGCTTAAATATATACACATATAGATAATAAACACCCAGACAAAGAGAAAACAAACCTGTTTATCACACGAATGTCTGTCTTATGTGAGAATCGAAACCACGACCCGCGGCGTAACAGTCAAGGGCGCTAACCACCACTGAGTGAGTCAGCTATATTATACATTAACTTAATAACGTATTTATTGAACGAACCAGAATAAAAAGAAGAAAAAACTGAGGAAATACGTAAACATATACATATACATACATAGCTGCAAATTTTAATAAGTTATTACGAAAATAATCACGACCGCGTCATATAACGACTGACACAAGTCAATTATAATTCATAAAACTATTTTTGTTTTATTTGTAAAGCACGTGGTGTGAAACGTGAATTATAAAGGTTAGCGCAGACTAATTCACATTTTTACTGTAAAACTGTGAATTTATGTATGTGTAATGTATTCACGGTTTTACTGTAAAACTGTGAATTTTCACAAATTCACTTCACAAATTCACAGTTTTACTGTAAAACTGTAAATACATTACACATACATAAATTCACAGTTTTACAGTAAAACTGTCAATTTGTGAAATGACTATGAAAAATAACGACCAATATTACTTCTACCCCTACTGTTAAAATTACTTCGGTTAATTACAATTGTAAGAATACTTTAGAAAGTTTTAATATATATTTATCTATACTAATATTATAAAGAGAAAAGATTTGTTTGTTTGTATTAAATAGGCTCCGAAACTACTGAACCGATTTGAAAAATTATTTCACTGTTTGGAAGCTACACTATCTCCGTGTGACATAGGCTATATTATTTTTAAAAAAAATTAGGGATCCTTACAAAAGCTCCAATAATGTTACGAAAATAATAATAAAAAAATACTCAACTACCTCTATAATTTTCTATTTTTAAAAACCTGACGCAAATATAAGGGGTTAATGTGTGTGTATTATAATTATTTATTTTGAAATTATTGTTACAGACCCGAGCGAAGTCGGAGCGGGCCGCTAGTAGCTAATAAACGCAAACGTTGCTACCTATCACTAGGCTTTTACCACTAAAGACTTTTATCACTAAAGACTCACAAACGAGTCTTTCAAAGGTCAACCCTAACGTATGAATGAATTTCTTTAAAAAAATACCTTATTCTAGTCTAAAAGTGTCAATTTAATCTTAATCTTATTTGTAAATCTAATGATAATAGTATCAAAGTCGTACGTAATTACAGACTCTCTCATTCCTTCGAGACTGGGTCATCAATACTATTCTAAGTAATACGTAAAGTAAAAAAAATAATTAATTTACAAACAGATTAAGACCACATGAAGAACTGATTGTCGTTGTCGGGAAATTCAAAATATTATAAATTCTATCCATGATAGTGTGCAACACACCTTATACTCAATAAAATTACATGCACATTTTGAGGTAGAATTTTTCGCATAAGGATTAACGTTCTGTCACCATAATATATCAATTAAAACAAGTTTGGGTCTGGAGAGAAAATCCATGGGTATCCATTAAGATACACTACCATAGGAGAGATCAATCTTCGTAGGAATGTGACCGAAGTGGCTTAACCTACGTTTACTTGGTGGACGTCTTGTGAGTCGGCAAGGGTAGGTACTACCACCCTGCCTCTATCTGCCGTGAAGCAGTAATGCCTTAGGTTTCAAGGGTGGGGCAGCCGTTGTCTATAGGCTCTGGTAACAACTTAGCACCAGTAGGGCCGTGAGCTCGTCCACCCATCTAAGCAATAAATAAAAAATAAGTTTTAAGAGGACTCTTCCACGCATCACTCCGCTCTGGTGCGAACTACCCTAATTATATTTTCCGTGTTCAAGGACATATTATCTCTATACAAGTTAAAAGATCGTCAGTGGTAGGAAACAGCATTTCAAATGTCCATTAGTATCAGTTACATTATACCATCAAGCGGGCTGGAGGCTCTACTGTATGCCTTGTATAAGCTACTTAGCGATAAGCTAATTGTGTTACAATCACCGATTGTCGACCTGGCCTCGCAAGGTGAAAAACGGCATTTACGCCGATCTCAAAGTGTTACAAACGATGCTATTGCATTATACGACCCACAACAAATAAGTTTAAATGAATAATAATATTTTCGTAAATTTTATACATAATATGTATATGTTAAGAAAATCTGCATTCTTGATTGGAATAAGTGATGCACGATATCGAATTAACGTAACCAAGGTACTATTTAATCAAATATTATTGAAAGAAATATACTTATTTTGTATACGGTAATTTTATTAACGACTAGCTGACCCGGCAGACTTTGTAGTGCCTCAGTCGATAAATAAAAGACCTAAAGTTTTGTATAAAATAAACTTAAAACAAACAAAGGGAATCCATCTGACGGGGGACACATCAAAGAGAAAACAAAATTGTTATTTTTATTTAATTCCGTGCATTTTCATATTTATCTACCCTTTAAACCTTCTATGGACTTCCACAAATAATTCAAGACCAAAACTAGCCAAATCGGTCCAGCCGTTCTCGAGTTTTAGCGAGACTAACGAACAGCAATTCATTTCTAGCATATCTAAATGACTTACCGGTTTTTTTTTGCTTTATGTCACATGTACACATGGAGTGTCGGTATTAAATAAAAACGTCCGGTTCGCTGCTCAGTCCGTTCACGTCTGCGTCTTGAACACGAAGTGCTCATAGTTATGTTAATAATTCGCCGTTTTCCTCACGCAACGGAATACGGGATTTTAAAGTTACAAATCTTTGTTTTTGCCAAATGACGTATTGGCGTTTCTTCTTATCACCCGCTGTATATTTTAATAGATTTATTTGCTCTGCGCTTGATTGCGCGGGTAAGCCCGTTTCCCTTTGACCATAAACATTTATTGCATCGGTTCGGCAAATTAAGCCAAACGCTTGTGAGCCTTATTTAAAAATAGCAGAGCTCTGTGGTTGCGTCCTCTTTAAGTTTATAATTCTTTAGAGAAGGATCAAAACTCGATAATAGAGCATGGAGCTCAAAAAATATTATTATGTTTTTACATAATATGACAATGTTTTTCGATTGCTTCGTTGCTGCGTATAAGTAAAAATCAACAAACAGACGTGATTTATTTTTATTTTATTAGATGAGATGAGATAAAGTTAAATTAAAGTGAATTTTTATTTTATTAAAATTGTTTATTTATTTAATTAAATTTTATTAATCGTTTTGAGTAGAGAGAAAATATAAATCAGAGAGAATGAAACTGTTATTTCCATAAAATATACAATAATATGTGTAACATTATAGGTAGCCTTGTGTTAATTGCTAATTAATATTTCTTAGTAATGAAACGAGGAAAATAATAATTATAAATTTAATCAATGAAATATAAGGGTTATCAGGTTCAATTAGACATTATGAGATACGCTTAAAAACAATAGTATTGAAATGAAACAATTGAAATGTAAATACTTATAACATTGATAAAATGAAAAATATATTTACGTAGAATGCGCACTAATATGTGTGGAAGCGAGAATTAGATACGACCGTGACCATTCACTATCAGGTCGGTCGTGTATTCATCTATCTACTATTATATGGCAAATAACAAAAATTTAAACCAGATATTTGAAAATCAAAACGAGTCAACAGGCGTGACAATTTAAGCTTTTTACGTTGATAAAGCTATTGAAATAGCATATTTTCAGCTGAATATACCATACTATAATTAAAGCTTAATCGAATCCCAGAAATGGAGAAGAATACAAGTGATAGTGGTATCTAAAACACGACCGAAACTTCAATTTACCTGGAATTTTTGCATTGTTATTTGAAATGAGATTCTATACTTTTGATTCGGACAATATGTTTCTTTAGTTAAAGACATAATAATAAGAAGAATCTAGATTATTTCCACATGCGTGAGAATCTTCTCCATCGGTACTTTCTTTACATTCTGGTTTCTGGATTTTAGACAAAAATCTCTCTATGTAGTTCTCATTGGGATCTCCAATGATTTGAAAACAATAAGTCAGAATTTGGGGACGGCTTTTAGTTTCTTCGTCTTTTAATTGCAGATCTATAATTTTCATAAGCTTCCCATTAGGAATAATTTCATTCAGTACAACCAATCCGTCGGTATTATCTAATATTGTGTACGGAAGCAACAAATTATTTACTTCTAGCTGTATTTTTACTTCTGCGTCGACATGAACATATAACAATACCAATGTGATCACGACGATGGATTTCATTAATGTCTTCATCTAAAATTATTTTAAAATAATTTTGAGAAACATACCAACATATGTATGTGTATTATTAAGTTATTTCACTTTACTTTAAACTTTTGTTCATGAATATAATATAGTTGTTAAATAAAGAAATACAGTACCTTATACTAGCAGCAATACATGTAAAATGAGTACAAAACTTCACAGTAAGCATATAATTGGAATGAAATTGATTTATATTTCAATTTTCTAGTATTGTAATATTACATTAAAATAAATACAATGACACACACATTTAATAGGTTCAAACATCCAAGTACGGTCTTTAGTTCATAGACGGGTGTGTTTGTAACATATTTAGTTGTTAAATGCGATTTTAGCTGTCTAAATTTTGAGAATCTTCTTGTGTGCTTCCACGATCCACTGGTGGTGCAGGTCTAGCGTTTTGATTATTTATTCTTATCGGTTCGAAGGATATGGGTCTAGTACCAAGCTCTTCATAATCATCATCACTTTCATTTTCGCCGAAATTAATACTAACTGTGTCTTCAGAATTTGTAGTTGATGTAGAAACGGTTGATGATTCTTCAGTCATTATCGGTGCTGAAGTTCGTACTTTGTCGTCGATAATGGACACTGCTGTGGTTGAAAGTTCTTTAGCTGTTGAAGTTGCGGTCGGTTGTCTAATGTCTGTTCTAGTAACGGGTATTGATACATCTGCACTTGTATAATCTGTGTTAGTTGGAGGTAAATCTTGGATTATTTGACTTTGGCTATTGTCAAAAGTAGCTTGAACATTCGTTGGATAGCAATTGCAGTTACTATTTGGGATATAAAACGATGGAACAAATATTGGCAGAGGATTTGGTGAATATGCAGAAGAAGGTCTTATAAAATTGGATATTTGATCAAATTGTTTTTGTATTTGTGAAAAAAGTATATTGAAGAAATTGGAATTTTCGAATCCATTGGGCACGTTGGAATACTGGAATCGACTTATCGCCGCGTAATCGTAAAAATTTTGGTGACGTTTATGGCGAACGTTAGTTTCATCTTCTTTGTGACTATTTGAGAGAATCTCTTGTTGGCTGATTTGATCAACACTCTTCTCAAGGTCGCCTTTTCCGAAATCACTTGGCGCTGCAGCAATACAAACGAGCGTGACGGAGACCACAACTAAAACGAAGTTTGTTTTTGTCATCTGTAAAAAGGAAAACAATTTTTTTAGATAGCCTTTCGTGCCTTATCAGTACGTGATTATCAAGAGTTTGGGTTCAAGGTACAGTAACTATGATTTGGAGGTAAAGAAGTGAATACCTTAGTGTCTTTTATACACTTTCATTAATTTCACGTACCCTAAAGACAAGACAAAGTTGTATATTGTAGAGCACCAAAATGCTTATAAATTCTTCTTCTTCCCACAGACGTCCACTGTTGGACATAGGCCTCCCCCAAGCCTCGCCACAAAGACCGGTCCTGCGCTAAATAATATTAATAATATAATCAAATGTATGTATTATCTGTTTGTAAAAGTACAAATCTATGGCTGTTTGGCTTTGAGACAGCCATTGTTCTAAAGCAAGTAAGACTGATCTCACTTCGCGAGATCGGCGACAATATTTACGTCACAGTTTCTACGGGCTAAGCTAACATATGTGCTTGTCCGTAAAGTTGATCACTTATCTTCTCTAGTAATACATATGTAGATATTTTGAATCAGTATTATCATATCGTAGTTAAACAATATACAAACTAAGTAAAATCGTTCACAATTCCGGCATTTTTCTCAGCATATTCCAAAAACATACAAAGTAGAAGTAACAAGGTAAAATCAAAATAAACAATTATTCCTTAAAAAGGATTTAAGATGAATCAACCATATTGAATCAACTACGCATGTGTACGAAGAATTCCAGTCGTACATTTAACCTTAACCTTCAATAGCCACGCCATAATTTAACTGATTCGAAGTTCTTTAAGACGCAGATTTCTTCCTCGAAGCTTTTGTCCTAGATTAATAGATGAGCTCACTGCACACGTGGCGTTCACAGGTGCTAACGTGAATGTCGCGATGACTTGTACTTTGGAACGCGAAATCAGTCTCAATAAAATTGTATTTTGTGACGGACGTCCAAACATTGAAATAGATACTATGAACCTAAATCTCGAACCAAGCCGACTGACAAATTAATATATATTTATATTTATGGTTGGTTAAGAAAACCTAGAAGATTTAGATTTTTTGTAAGTTGTTAGACGTATTGGTGCTCCGTAAGCCTAGATTAGTCGCTGCCTAGTTTGTAGGCAGCAACTTGGCTTTGCCCTTGGCATTGCTGAAGTCTATGGGCGACGGTAACCACTCACCATCAGGTGGGTCATATACCCGTCTACCTACAAGGGCAATAAAAAAAATACTATCATCCTATTGAGGCAGTCTTTCATTCGGGTTTGAAGTATATGGCTAAGGCCGTTATACTAAATAATTGAGAATTCGATCTTAATTTTTTTATTGCTTAAACGGGCGAACGATCTCACGGCCCACCTGGTGTTATGTGGTTACCGGAGCCCATAGACATCAACAACGTAAATGCCGCCACCCACCTTGAAACATGACTGTAAGTTTTATTTCTGTAGTATAACGGCTGGAAAACCTTTCAAGCATTCATTATACCTACTCGTGCGAGCTCTCAAAACGTTCTTCCACCAGTCTCAAGACACTTGTCCTGGATGAGAAGGTTTCTAGGCTACCCGAAATCTGTACATATAAATAGGACAGTGGGAAGCGGCTTTCACATTCGCGCGGGTACGTACCACCACCCTGCCTATTTCTGCCGTTAAGTAGTAATGCGTTTCGGTTTGAAGGGTGGGGCAGCCGTTGTAACTATACTTGAGACCTTAGAACCTATATCTCAATGTGGGTGGCGCATTTACGTTGTAGATGTCTATGGGCTCCAATAACCACTTAACACCAGGTGGGTAACAATAAAAAAATTAAAAAAACTACCGCGCTACCGGGTTGTATTCAACATAAAGCGACCGTATGGCGCTACGTGACGCTCCGATCCGAGAGGCTGGTTCTGATCCAGCGGGGCTACTCCGGAACACCAACGACACCTACTGGGTGAATTGACGGGTCACTGACCGAGATAGCTTATATAGAGTCGTTGCTTGCTGACATCTCTGCCCGCCAGGCGTCTTTGGGTAAGCGCGTCTAATTATAGGTACAGTGCTAACCACAGTCGTCCTTCCTGCCTCTCCCAGGCTCTCTGTCGGGCGAGGATGAGACGTTCAGGCGAGAGTATAACGAAATCGTGTAACAACGACAGTAAGACATACCTCGTGTGTAGGATTTCGATAGAGGAATTCAAAGGGCGAGAAGGACGCACTTTCTAGAAAAAAAAGCCGCCTTCACATCATCATATCTATGAACTTCGATAGATCGTTAGTACCACTTAACTTAGGATGGCTTTGTGGTCATATTCACCCATCAAAATTATAAATAAAAACAAAGGAAGATGACGTACAAAAACACATATAATTAATTCAAAAGGTATATAAATACAAGTCTCATACAAAAAAAATCAGCAACATCGTTTTTTTATTAAGTTACTTTTAATTAAGTTACATTTGTAGTTTTTTTTATTACTACTGTTGTTTCATTCGAATTTTCCTACGAGTTCTAAAACAGTGCAGTAATCGATATGTCTGAAATATCAGTAATACCGTTAAAAACGTGAAATTAAGCCGTAAAAGTAGTTTTTAATACAATTATTGTACGAATAGCGGAAACCGAAGAAAATACTATATATATTTTTTTTAAAGGATTGTATGACCTGGTAACTAAGACCTTTAAGTCATGTCCTTTAAGTCATGTGTTATTTTAATTTATATTCTTGATTATATGAAGAATGATAATAGGAAGTGAAATGAAATAAAGATGATTAATTTGAGACATTAATCAACTGGGATGAGATTAAATGAAATGAGATGAAATGATATGGGATGAAATATAATCTCAGTGAAATGGTGGTCATTAGTATAAATTAGAATTTGTTCTAACACAGATTAAGACATTTCCATATAGATATAGTAAAATTTTCTAAAATTATTTGTATATTTTAGATATGTTTTTATGGTGTGCACTGATATTATTATACTTCAAATATTTTTTCAAATAATTTAAGCTAAATTTTATTTTTATGGCACAGTTTTCGATACCAATGAAGCGCTGTAGGGGAATTAGATATTATTAGGAACAAGATCTTAAAAACATTATTTATCAATTCTATTTTGTTGAAGTTACGTTTTACAAAAAACTGAGAAACATCATTTAACAAACATATTATTAAATTCTAAACAATTGTTTTCATAACAAATATGTTATTAAATTGTTTTAATTTTTCTCGTTTATCTACATTATAGAAATATTTAATAGTAATTGCTATTTGCAATCTACCCGTAACCATGGTGTTTTGCGACAGCGTCGAAATTTCGGGAACTCTAACTATGAAATCAGAGTTTTTACAATGCTACTAATCAATTGCTTAACTGAAGACAATAATACATTGCCTTAATTTCTTAAGACTCGTATAATAATACGTATAAATGATTTTTTCTCAACGAAATTATGAAGTACGACAATAATTGTTAAAGTTGTTGAGACAGTTGACTGTACCTTAACAAGCCTCTTGAGGAATCGAAATACAGTGTACAGTTAGCTATTCAAGACGCTAAGGCTGCTTTCTATTAACATTATTAGATTCAGGTTTTAAGTTGAAATTTATGTGTTCGTTTTAGAATTATTGTCCTAGTTTCGAAAAACTTGAGGTAACTAAATGACAGAAAAGAATCTGTCTGTGTATTGGTTACCAACCATGAGTAAAGTTGAATATTTATCAACATAGTCAATGTCCTGATATAAAAAATTACACTTTTTTAACAATAAACAGAACTGGACGGTCGTATCTGAAAATATATCCTGAAGATTTCCAATTAAATTATCTATAGTTAAACAGTATATTTATAATGTGTTTCAAGCTTTTTTCTATGAAACTCATTGGAATTCCAATATGATGAACATTTCCAGATCAACCCAATGATAGCTGTTAAGCTTATGGTATTTAATAATACACATATTTGCTGTTTTGTTGAAGATAAAACTAGTCAGATTGGTGGGAAACATTCATAATACACAAGTAGACATTACAGTTAGTTCTTGTAAAAACGTTTCATTAATATCATTTTCATCTTACAAATCCGCCCTGATGATACCGCCATGATTATCAGAAAGTAATTTTAGAAAAAATGTTTCCAGAGCCGCATGAAAATTAGCTATGTAAATTTGAAATTGTAAATCGTCTTATAAGTTGTACTAATTCACAAAATATGTAGGTATAATAATAGTTATGACATTTTTACATATTTAGATAATATATAATAAAATATTAAAATAAAGTAAATAGTTACTCGTAAAAACAATGCACAATACTTTAATTCAATAGATTTTCAATCATATTTTGTTGCTTAAACAGATGCTCTTTAACCTTAGATGTTCAAATAATAATAAAACATAGATCTCAAAGCAACACGTCTAAACACTAATTCGTTGACTTAAGTAAATAACCTAACTGGTAATTCAAATTCCATTTCGTTGTCCATAGTATTTTTGAAAGCGATCTATAACTTGGAGTATGACTTTGGGGTCACAAGGTTTTCCATTTGATACGGAAGCTATACTCGGGCATCCTTGACTCACGAAGCAATCGTACGTTACGTGAACTTGGTGACAGCAACTCAACACCGCTTTCTCGCAAATACTGGGAGCTTTTGGTATCTGCGACTGGAATCCAAAAGTTTCCAGACTTGTAACAACTGCTGGTGCGGCAGTTGTTGTTGTTGTTGTCGTTGTAAATAAGTTTCCAGTTTCACTTTGTTTACTACCATGTTCAACTGGTGGTGGTGGACGCGCCATTGGCCTCCCGGCCTTTATGGGGTCAAAAGATATAGGTCTGTTAGTTAAGTCGTCTTCATAATCATCGTTTTCACTTTCATTTACAACTAAACCCCAATTTTGCCTTTCGTCATCTAGTAGTACTGGCACTCTGTTCTCCACACTGGGTAGTGTTTCGTTCTTCTTCGCTATTGGTTCAGTAGGTGGATTTATGGCACTACTATGAAAACAATTGCAGTCATATTGTGGAACAAATATCACGGGGAAAAGGAACGGGAAAGGCGTTGAAGGTGGTGGTGCCGGTTGCTTTACAACGTCCACTATTTCTTTAAGACGTTTGTGTATCTCTACTAAAGGATCTTCATTTACATTAGGCCCTACTTCGGAAGAATAGCCTCTGGGCGAATCAGAATAAATCACGGGACTGATCGGTGGAAAGCCATAACCGTAATAGTTATAAAATCGTTTTTGACGTTTTGAGCCTTGAGACAAGTTTCCGTCGCTTGCTTCTATATTAGGTTCAATTGTTTCAGTTTTATCAGCTTGTATGACATCGTCTGTTTCGCTAATATCACTAGGCGCTGCGGTGACCGCGATTAACAAAACGAGAATCCCAAATAGTACGCGCTGCTTTTTCGCCATCTGAAAAAATGAAAATTCTTTTATTTTTTGTGGAAACATTAATACAAGCTAATATCTGAGAGGAAGATTTGAGAATCCAACATCTAATAACTTTCACCAGAAGAGTAGCACAGTCAGAAAATGTATAAGCAGTACTTTTTCTTACTAATTTTGGGAAAAATGATAGTTTCAAACAGTTCTCCCTAGGCACGCCCCTCCACCAAGCCACCTTACTATACCGCGATACTATGACTACAATAAAGATATACGATTTGTGACTTACTTTAAATAGGTATCTAGTATATCTGTTGCGTAACAAAATTATACTTAATTAAATAGAAAATTCAAAGACATGACGATGTTTTTCATTCAAAATCAATGACAGAGGGGCGTACCAAAACATTCCGTTTTGTGCAATACTATTCCAAATATCATTTAAAATAAGAGTATTTTTTCCGAGAAGGTCCGCTCAGAAACTCAGCAGGTTAAGATAATGTTTTCAATGAAATTCAGCGAATAGTTGTCTGTATCGCCTAATAGTTGTCTCGACGAGATCGCTTTAGTAATTAATTACCCATCCTACTGTATATACTTTCATGTCCTATAATGTTAAAAAAAATATACGATCTCGCATTTATAAATGTTTTCCTACAACTTTTGACGATTAAAAATTTTCGGTTTTTGCTTCATTGGATATTTTTTAAATATTAAAATAAAAAAAGGCTTGAAACATAATTAACAATATGAAAACATTTCACTCTATTCATTGCTAGCATTTCAATCAAAACTATAACTTGAAGAAACAATATTATTAATCTTATAATGCTGATACATTAATCATGTGGAATATTTTTTTAAAGTTTTCTATCCGTTGCATTATCGAAAGATATTTGAAATCTTCGTGTTCCTATTACCAGGGTTTCATGTCTGCGGTTCCAAGTTTTTCATAGCAGCGGCTCATTGTGTGACGTACAGTCGCATAGCCTCTCTTGTTCTCATTGCACCCGAATCTGTGCTATCAGAACGGGGACAGACTTTTCGCACTTAATGCGGGAACTTTAGGATGAAATGAAATATCGAAAATACACTCGTTTTCATTCCATTCCAAATCAGATTTTAATAAAATTTGAAGGCTAAATAACAATAGAATATCTTTATAATTGCGTTTATCGCTCACTATGTAATTACTTATTAAAATTATCAATAAATTCATAGCTTCACATAGATCACGATAACAAAATTTTTCAAACCCAGATTAAGAAGACATTTATAAAAAAAACTAGCCGTACTCGCCCGCTTCGCTGGGCATTTAAAGTTAACAATATTATTTATTGTCATTATTATTACGGAGTCCAACACTCATACAAATATTAGCCTATTCACTAAGTACATGTATTTCCTACACCGATATCAAGTTTCAAGTCAATCGGATGCATGATTCAGTAGTTATAACGGAACATCCGTAAAAACTACAGTAGATTTATATATTAGTACAGATGTGTCTAAAGTAAAACTGTTAAATAGTGGACTGAATCACTATCGGTTTTTCGTATCTTTTATTTATTACCCTTGTAGGCAGACGAGCACACGGCTCATCTGATGGCTAGTGGTTACCGTCGCCCATGGACTTCAGTAATGCCAGAGCAGATGCCGTATAGCTGTTATATAATTAGGATACTCTTCGATAGGTTCAAAAGGAGTTTTAAGGTTACAGAGGTTTATTTTCAAGATACAAAATACCAGTTTAAATTTTCTCTTAAAAAAATTAAAAAATATCACTAATAAATTCTTTTCTTCAATAAATTACCTTAAAGGCGTGAATTCGTTTTAAAAACAAATAAACATGTTTGTAGTGACCTAGACACAATAACTTTTTCGCATATAACGCGGTTCAAGTATTAGCAATAGTTCAACAATAGTTTGCGCAATTCAACATCTCGCGGAGATTTCTTAACGGTAGGCAATTAGTGTTACTGACAGATGCCGTCTGAACCTTCATTCTTACGTTTAGCGTTTGGTTCTCGAGATAACTTTGAAATCTTCATAATTGTATTTTTAATTTTTTGTGGATGTATTAGAAGTGCAAACGATGGGCCACTATTTCTATGGTTTTGCCACGAAGCGATCACGCGTTTTGGAGCGTTTAAAAGGACAATAATTTTACAAAACGGAAACTTCGATCTCTTGCAGTTAAGTGATTACCCGACCCTGCAGAAATAATCACAGCAATAAAACTTTCAGCTAATTTCAATTTTTTGCATTAATTTGGCAAATCCGTTACTGTTTCAAGCAATTTTAATTAATTATAACACAGACTTTAGTGCGTGTAACTTAAATATTTACAATCACATAAAAGGGTTCATCTATAAAGTTCGTTAAACTTAAGGTACTTTTTGTGATAATATGATATGTTAACACGTTCGCGTGAGCAACGTCTTACAACGTCGCGTGTTAAAATTATGAAATAGCGCGACGTCATATGGCGGCCTCTAGATTATCATATTTATTTGGTCCGAACGTCTTTGGTCGTCTATTTTATGGGTAAATTCCTATGGCGTATCTACTTAGCGCCGCAACACATTCGATTTTCATAGCCTACACCGCCGCGTTCCCCAAAAAAAAGTCATCATAAGATGTACGTATTACCGGGGGGCGTTTTAGACGTTGCTAAACTTTGTATGGCAAAAAGGTGCGCCACAGTAGCAATATTCAGAAATGAAGTTGCTCACGCGAACGTATTAATGTTGATCTTAAAGTATGATCGAAAACTCCTTAAAGGAACTATTAGCAATATTGTTTTGGTAACAAACAAATTAGAAATAGCTTGGGCATTGCCGTGCCCATGAATAAGTAGATCAATCGCCCTAACTGTGTTCGTCTACGAATCAGTCTGGTCTAAATATGTCTGTTTATTTTCAGTATGGAAAGTGTCTTCTTAAGATGACTTACCTACCAGTATAAAGTACATATCTTTTTTTTTAAAACTTTACCGTTATTTCTACTTTAAACTTAATAAAAGCCTAAATTAATAAACAAAATTATGAATGCACAGAACTTTGCGTTCCCCCTAAAAACTTCTTTCTATAGAATCCTTCTTTTATTCTTTACAACTATATAGACTTACTAGCTGTACCTACCGTCCGCTTCGCGGGGCCTTTACAATTAACATTATTATTTCTCACCCCCACAAAGATTCTCATAATTAACGCCCCTGCAGCTGGGGCAGGGGGTTCAACACTCATATAAATATTAGCCTATCCATTAAATACATGTATTTTCTACATGGACACCAAGTTTCAAGTCAATCGGATGTATGGTTCAGTAATTATAACGGAACATCCGTAAAAACCACCGTAGTTTTATATATTAGTATAGATATCCTTTTCATTAAATTGTAAATCTTATTGCTTTAGCTAAATTATCCAAAATCTGAGTTCAGTCATACAGATATTACGATAGACCAGTATTTGTAAACAGACTACAAACGATAATAAGCTTACTCAAACATAAAAAGCAATTGCTATATAAAGCTTTATCACTGGAGAACTGCTTGCCTGATTTGACTGATTTCTTATTCGTTGTGATCGTAATTGTCAGATAAGGTCTGAATGCGAAATTTCTTCGGAAAATCCAAAATATTTTTTTTCATAAAATTAGCGGCAGTCACAGCAGAGCGTGATCGGATTTAACTTAATAAAATATACCGTTGAAGTTATAGAAGATAATGCGGAAAAAAAATCGTACCTAAATTGAAACTTTTTTTAATGTGCTGGATCATCCAAAGTTAAAAAAAAACTACATTTTAACAATCTCGGCAATCAAAATACGGAGCCGTGAATGACGTCAGCGTATCGGCCCTAATAGCTACATGTTACAACAATATTATTACGTTCATATTGGTATAATAAAATTACCGGATTTAGAACTGATATAATTAAATTATTTATTTCCAAGTTCTACTTAAAAGTCTTAAAGAATAATGTGGTATGCGAGTCATGTAATTATATACGAGTAGGTATGTGTAAATTTGTATATTTATTAGGTGTGTATTAAAGTCGGATCAGCCTAAATAAAAAAATAGAATCCCGAATTAAGATTGTTCGTAGCCCAACAGTGTTGTTTGAACCTCACATTGGTGGTAGGACGTCTTGTTAGTCCGCACGGGTATGTACCACCACCCTGTCTATTTTTGCCGTGAAGCAGTAATGCGTTTCGGTTTGAAGGGCAGGCCAGCCGTTGTACTGTAAGATCAGGTGGGCCGTGGGCTCAATCACCAACTCAAGCAATAAATAAAAATGCTATAGGTCGGATTCGGACACCTTCTACAACTAGTCCTTACTTTTTCTGAAAGTGTTTTCACCGGATGGCAGTATATTAAGTACAAGTAACCCTCCTACGTTAGATACTACATGTTACTATAAAGTCCCGTGTTATGCGAAACTAGTTAAAATGAATAGTAGATTTTGTCAAGAGCAACCGAAAGAACGAACCTACGCGCTGCGTTTGGGCTGTGCTTATGGCATTACAAGGTCCATAAATAACGGGGACCACTCACCATCAGATGGACAGTATATTTCACTTTCTTCTATAACCAATTAAAAATTACAGACATATTATTAAAAAAAATGTATTTAATAGAAAAAAAAAATTATTGCATCGATGGGTGGACGAGCTCACAGCCCACCTGGTTTTAAGTGGTTACTGGAGCCCATAGACATGTACGACGTAAATGCGCCACCCACCTTGAGATATAAGCTCTAAGGTCTCAAGTATACTTACAGCAGCTGCCCCGCCCTTCAAACCGAAACGCATTACTGCTTCACGGCAGAAATAGGCAAGGTGGTGGTACCTACCCGCGCGGACTCACAAGAGGTCCTACCACCATTTAGAAATGTAACAGTGTTTCTATAGGTGTGATATTATATTTTTCTAAGAGATAATTACCAATCTTTAATCGTCTATTGCATCTTTGTTTTTATGTAACCGTGTTTAAAATAAAGTAAATAGTATGTTTGTTTTCA